AAATGGGAATCAGACAGAGCGGCTTTGGGAAGGTGTGCAGTCGTCAGGGGTTGCAAACCAGCAGTCCAGGGGCCACAGCGAGCCTGCAGGTGTGTCCTGTTTGGCCACGCTGTGTTGATGAAGAAGTTTGAATCAGCTGCTGTCCCAGAGTCGGGTCCAGGCCTCCATGGCATCTTGTACATGATGCACATTTGGCTGCGGGGTCCACTGAGCGCACGGCTCCTTTCCCGCAGCGCCCTACACCATCATCACCTTCCCCTTCCTCTTCGCCGTCATGTTTGGGGACGTGGGCCACGGGCTGCTCATGTTCCTCTTCGCCTTGGCCATGGTGCTGGCTGAGGACCGGCCGGCCATCAAGACAGCAAAGAATGAGGTAAGTAAGGGCAGCGGGAGTGGGGGGAAAGGCTGGCGGGGGGAGGGGGTCCAGGCCTTGTCTCAGCCCTCCCCCGCCCCCCCCAGATCTGGCAGACCTTCTTTGGTGGCCGCTACCTGCTCCTGCTCATGGGCCTATTCTCTGTCTACACCGGCTTCATCTACAACGAGTGCTTCAGCCGCGCCACTGTCATCTTCCCCTCGGGCTGGAGCGTGGCCGCCATGGCCAACCAGTCCGGCTGGAGGTGAGGCCCGCCGTCGTCCCCACTGTCCCCGGGTCCCCGCCGCCCTGCCCCGTCCCCACCGCCTTGACCGCCCTGCCTGCTGTTGCCACAGTGACAAGTTCCTGGCCAACCACCCCCTGCTCTCTCTGGACCCCAACATCACCGGCGTCTTCCTGGGACCCTACCCCTTCGGCATCGACCCCGTGAGTCCTGGCTGCAGGCCTGCAGGAGGGCAGCCCAGTTCTGGTGCCGGATGCTCGGGGCCCCAGACCGATGAGAGGCCTCCTTGCCGGGCGCGTCCTGCAGCCACAAAGCAGAGAGGCTGTCAGAGTGATGGCAGCCCTGGGTCACTGTGGAGCCGCCTCTGTGCCGGGCGCTGCTCTGAGCCCTGTATGTGCAATGACTATGTTTCATTTCTGTGACAACTCCACGAGGCGTCCCTTAGCATCCTTCCCATTTCACAGAGGAGGCAGCTGAGGCACAGGAGAGTACCCAAGGTCACCCCGTTAGGAAGAGCTGGGGTTGGCCCAGGTTGTCTGGCCGTGTCTGTGCCTTAACCAGTGCGCCCTGCTGCCTCTTGGGGGGCAGGTGACAGATTGTGCTGAGGCCCTAAAGGGGACAAACAGGCTGGTGAGATGACACCTGTCCCTCCTGCCACCCCAGATCTGGAGCCTGGCTGTCAACCACCTGACCTTCCTCAACTCCTTCAAGATGAAGATGTCCGTCATCCTGGGGGTCACCCACATGGCCTTCGGGGTGGTCCTAGGAGTCTTCAACCACATGTGAGGCCGAGGCTCTGGTGGGGGAAGTGGGGACTGCGGGGCCAGGGTGGTCCGGTGACTTGGCCCTTGTCCCACCCCAGACACTTTGGCCAGTGGCACCGGCTGGTGCTGGAGACCCTGCCGGAGCTGGTCTTCCTGCTGGGCCTGTTCGGCTACCTGGTCTTCATGGTCATCTACAAGTGGCTGCGCGTCTCGGCTGCCGGCGCCGCCTCCGCCCCCAGCATCCTCATCCACTTCATCAACATGTTCCTCTTCTCTCGCAGCCCCACCAACCGGCCACTCTTCCCCGGGCAGGTGGGCTGGGGCGGCGAGTGGGCTCACCCCCCTCAGCGGCCCCTGGTCACTGGGCCACTCAGGGTGGTCCAGTCCTCATCTGAGAAACAGATGCTGGCCCGAGCTGTGAGATGCGGAGGTCCAGGGACAGTGGGAGGCTCCCAGCGAGGTGGCACACAGTGGGTCCCGGGAGCCTGTCCCCTTCTCGCCGAGGATTCCTTACGCAGTGATGTCCCTGCTTAGGGAGGGGACCCGGGGGAGGAGCAGACTGTAGGCTCCCTGGGTGTGTGGCTTGCAGGGGCAGCCTGACTCGGCCCCCTCCCCTGCAGGAGGTAGTGCAGTCTGCATTGGTGGTCCTGGCCCTGGCCACAGTGCCCGTCCTGCTGCTTGGCACACCCTTGTTCCTTCGCTGGAATCACCGCCGTCACTTGAGACGTGCTGGCCAACTGCAGGTAGGGGGGTGCTGTAGGGAGGTGGGGCCGCTGCCAGCCCGAACCCACCTTGCTCCTCTGAGTGGCTGTGTGCAGGCAGTAGGGGCAGTGTGGGCCTGTCTGGGTGGGTCCGCTGACGCTGCCTACACCCCGTCCCAAGGATGAGGTCAAGACTGGGCTTCTGGACTCGCCCGACGCTAGGGGCTCTGATGAGGAGAAGGCGGAGCACCCAGGGGACCAAGAGGAAGCCAAGGTGGGTGTGGTGCCTTCCTGAGTGGGGGGTAACCGCTGGCCTGGCCCGCCCCTTACTATCCCCCCTCCCCGCCCCCTCAGTTTGTGCTCTCTGAGGTGTTCATGCACCAGGCCATCCACACCATCGAGTTCTGCCTGGGCTGCATCTCCAACACGGCCTCCTACCTGCGCCTCTGGGCCCTGAGCCTGGCCCATGCCCGTGAGTGACCAGTGTGGTGGGTGGCCCGGCCACGGTTAAGTCCTGGCTCCAGCTTGCACACACAGCTGCTGGCTGGGTGGCCTGGGCGGGTCGCTTCTCTGGGCCTCAGGGTCCCCTCTGTAAAGTGGGCTTCAGGCTGCCGAGGACGCGGGGTGGGCACCCCTGGCCCCTGGTCTCCATTGCCCTCTCTTCACCCACAGAGCTGTCAGAGGTCCTGTGGGCCATGGTGATGCGCATAGGCCTGGGCATGGGACGAGAGATGGGTGTGGTGGCCCTGGTGCTGGTCCCTGTCTTTGCCGCCTTCGCCGTGCTGACCGTGGCCATCCTGCTAGTGATGGAGGGGCTCTCCGCCTTCCTGCACGCCCTGAGGCTGCACTGGTGAGTGGCCCCCCGACTGCTGGGCGGCTCGGGGCAGGGCCAGGCCTTCCCTTCACCAGCTCTCCCTTCTCACTCCAGGGTGGAGTTCCAGAACAAGTTCTACTCGGGCACTGGCTATAAGCTGAACGCCTTCACCTTCTCCATGGAGGACCAATAGCGCCCACCTGTGGCCATGCCAGCACTGCCCCCCCCTCCCCCCGCCAGCTTGCTGAGTGAAGCAGGAAAGGAATAAAGAGGAGGAAGTCTCAGGACTGTGTCTGGGTCCCGTCTGCAAAGCAGGGGCTGGGGAGGCTGGTGTGGCAGAGCCTGGGCCGCGCCAGAACGGCAGGACTCTGGGCTGTGGGCGTGGGCTGGTCCTGCCCTGAGCCTCTTTTGGTTTCGTGGACCCCATGGCAGCCTCTACGCCTGTCTCTTACATCCTCCTTTGCAGCTGAGGTGGTGGGAGGCACCGGCCCATGACCAAGGGCCTTGAGAAGTTGGGGAGAGGGCCCATGAGCCCATCTGTAATAAGCCCAGACTCGGTGGACCAAGGAGGGATGTTCCCTGCACATTCTAGCTGAGAATGAGTGTCTTCCCATGCTGGGCCAGGGGGAGTGAGCTTCCCATCCCTGAGGGTGTGCAAACTGGCTGTAAGAGAATGTTGGGGATACCCTGGGTGTGGAGGGGGTGCCTGGCATGAATTGGTCAATGTTCCCATCCCTCGTGCTGGGACTGGACCCAGGCACTCCATACGGGGCAAGCAGTGGTGTCGTACACCAGAGGCCACCACCCTGCAGGGAAGGGCAGAGGCTGGCCAGGACAGCGCCAAGCGTCAGTAAGGGGGCGCAGCCAGACTCTAGGCCCTGTCTCCCCATCCTGGGAGCTTCGGCCTTGCCTAGCTTCCTCGGCAGCCAGACCTGCTCCCTGGAGGCTGTCCTTTAGCTGGTGGGGCGGGGGCCCCTGTAGCTTCCTGGCCTGGATCCCACCACTGGGAGGCCGAGCCAATGCTTCCCAGAGGCCTCTCTCCAGCTGGACGGCCTGGAACAAAGGCCGCTTTGAGGCTAGACGTCCTGGGCGCAGGGAGCCCGGGGACCTGGCCCCATCGCTGTGCCTCTCATCTGGCCAGCTGCCAGGAGCCTGTCCCTTGGGTCCAGGACTGTCCCTCAGGGGCTGTGTGGCAATCCCACGTGCCTGGCAGATGTGGCTGAGAAACGATGATGGCCGTGTCTGGTGAGGAACAGAGGAAGCTGGTGTGTAGGGGACTCGGGCTGTGAGTGTAAGCCCAGGCCCCAAGCCTTACACCTCCCTGGGGAGCAGAGCTGGGCAGACCTGCAGGGTGGGGGTGGCGAGAGGGACCCTGACATGCTCGGAGCTAGTGTGTGTTTTGTGAGGAGGCAGGTGTGGCCTAGGGAGACACTTGCTGGCTGACATGGATGGCTGGGAGCCTGGCTGGAGGTCTGGTTGCCATGGACCAGCATATGCAAAGGACTGCACTGGGCACTCCTGGGGCAAGGTCATCAGGAGACACAGGGACAGTGGGTCACCTACACTGCGGACAGGCCTGATCCCTGCTCGGTCTAAAGCAGGAGACACCTGAGTGAAGACGTCAATTTCAGGAAAAGACGCGTGTGGTGCGTAAGAGGGATGAGCCAGGGAGGATGCGAGTGAGGGTGGTCTCCAGGATGGCACTGCGTTCTTCGCTGATGTGAAGAAGCCCATCGTCTGAAGACCTGGCCCCCTAGCATCGCAGCGGGAGAGGCGGCAAAAAGCCTGGCATGGTGAGGAGAGGAAGGCTGGAGGGGAGTGGGGACAAGGCCGGCCCAGGTGACCGCCTGGCCTTGTGGGCCCAGGAAGGAGTTGGAACCTAGGTTTTAAGTGAGCTCTCACGCAGCTCAGTATCATTTATTGCTTGAACATCAAAACACATTTCCCTGGTTAGGTTTTAAATGTCTACAAGGTGAACAGTGGGAAGTCTCCCCCTGCCCTGGCCCAACCTCCCAGTGACTGCGCTGCTGTGTCCCCTCTATGCCCGTGCAGCCTGCACGCCAGGAGCAGACGCCGGTGCACGTACTGGGCCGCCGTCGCATGACTCAAAGGTGACAGCTGAAGATGGGGTTTTATTTTTTTATTGTTTGTATAGTACAATCTCTGTGGTAGCAGAACTGTATGCACAGAAATAATTCAGTAAGAGGTTTAAAAAATGTATCCCAAAGGATATTTAACATATACAAATTTCACAGCTATAGTCTACCCACGCCCCACATGTCACACACAGGCTGCTGGTCCCACCGGAAGGACACTGGGGCGTCAGAGCAGTGAGGGTTGGCCACCGAGAGCCCCAGCCAGGGTTTCTGCTCCTGAGGGGCCCTGGGGCAGACAGCCCTGTCACAGAACGGTCAGCTCCAGGCTGCAGTCATGGAGGAGAAAAGGCGGCAGGGAGGGGACAAAGCCCCTGGTCCCCACAGGAGGCAGCTGGGAGGCAGGGGCCTGCACACCCCCACGCTGCCCTTGCCTGCCGTGGCCCTTTGAGGCAGAGTTAATAAAGCAACATTCAGTGAGGAGGGCGAGGCAGAGGCTACACCCACTTAGGGAGAGATCTGTCCGTACAACTGAACACACGACAGGTACCAGGAGCTACATTCATCGCACGGAGACAGCAGCTGGCGCCCGCCGTGTGCATTCTGCTTCCTTGAGCTTCAGCCTTTTGGACCAGAGGGTGAAGGAACAGCTTCTGGAGACGACTGTCAGGCCACGAGCGGCATCACGGTCTGCCTGTCCCTCGTCACCCTCAGGAGTGAGCAGTGTCTACACACGTTACCTACAGAGCCGGTACAGTGCTCACCAGCAGGGTAAAGTCCTGTAAAGAGTCAACAGTAACCAGAAGCGCCTGTGGTGGCATGCTGGCTGGCTGCATGTCTGCGCAGGCGGGGCCTCTCTGGACTAGAGGAATCTGAGCTATCGCACTATTGCACTACTGAACTGTGTTTCTGCTGCCCGAGCTTGTCAGAGGCCTAGTGAAATCGTAAACAAGATATGAAATAAATGTTACTCAATTTTAATACAGTCTTTTGTATCATACACATCTGTGTGCGGCAGCGAGCCATCCCAGCTTCTTGCCGCAGGAACAGCAGTTGGAGCAGAGGGCTCCATGGCTCGGCCGCCCCACGCAGTCCAGGGACGGAGTATAAGAAGTCCTCCCGCGGTCACACCCCCAGCTTCCTCTTCTGGTGGAAATAGGCATCAAACCTCGCTTGGGCATAGTCCTAGGAGACAGAAGGACATAGCTCAACCCGGGCTCCTGCCTACCCGAATGCTGCTCGGATCCTGCCCAGGAGCCCACCTGTTCTAGAGACATCTTCTCACGCTGCTGGCAGTGTTCACCCCACACCTTCATCTTAAAGGTACCCAGTTTGGTTGCATGGCCCACCTGGCCCCACCACCCAGACAGGACTTTTCCTGGTTCCCCAACTCATTTACCCCAAGTGTTCAAGAAGTTACTGACGGACAAAGGCTCCCCCTTTAAAGCAGAAAGTTCCCAGGTGCTCGCAAGCACAAAATAAAAAAGTCTACTTTGTCTGTGTCATTTGACCATGACTCATATTTGCTTTAAAAATCCAAACTTCCCCTTCGGCCTCAGCACCTGTGCATCCCCTACCCTCTGCCCCTCAGCACCTGTGCATTCCCTAACCTGTCTAGAAGCAGAAATTATCCTGATAGAGGATCAAGGAGGAAAATACCACCTGTCCCAAAGCAAGGTGCTCACTCCAGTCTTCTGTGTGCCCCGCCCCAGGACACCCACCCACACTCATGGAGGGTACCTACAGTGTCTATGACAGAGACAGCTCTTAAGGTTGGAATAAAATGATAGCCTAGCTTGGCACAAACTTCCCTATGAGTAGGATGTCTAACTCAGCACAGCTCCCACCTAAGGTGAGGCTGGAGGCTAGAAAATGGAGTGGTGACAGATGCATCCCACACTCCCACTCTGTCCCTGTGTCATGAGAGACCAAGGTTGGGGGCTAGACCTCTCACGTCTGCGTCTCTTCAGCTCCCGTCAGAACCAGAGGCCCATACAGCACTTTTCTGATGCAGGGAAGGAGGGCCTGCTGCCCCGCGAGTGAGGCAGCCCCATAGGCACGTAGCCTCCATCAGAGGGGCTTCAATGACAGCCTTTCTGCTACCTTCCCGGCTGAGCCTGCTGTCCGGGTGCCAGGTGCCCTGGTTCAGGCACTTACAGGGAACGGGTAACTCTCTGTAGGGGACCACTTCCACCGGGCATTCACAATAATGTAGCCTTTTCTCCCCGGGAGTAGAAAAGCAAAAGCACCTCCCAAACATACCATGTAGCCGAATTCGATGGATGAAATCTTGGCCTGCACGATGGACCACAGTGCCCAGAAGAAATGGGAGGCAAGGGCAAACCTGTCATTACAGAAGCAGGAAACACCGGTGAGTAAATATGTGGCACCCGTCAGAGGGCCAGGGAGGTCTTTCTGCTAGACGGGCACTCTAGCTCATGTCCATCCATCTGGACGCGAACTGTCTGGGCAAACTCAGTGGGGTTATCTCCCATGGCCAGAGGTGTGAACACGCCAACTGCCTGTCCCTGGCACATGTTAACTGCATTCACAGGGCTCCCCTGGAGGCCATGCCGGTGAAGCCTGGGTGACATTTAAGACACTGTGCTGCCGTGTGTGAGGACACAGCATCAGCACCTGCACCACATCACCAGCAAGAGGAGAAACTGCGGGCCTCTGAGAGCTCACGGCCTGTCCCAGGAGGCAGGACGATGCCCTCACCCCCTCCTCCCTCACGGAAGCAAAACCAAGCACAGGAGTCTGAGCCAGTGCCCCTCCAGGCTGCGCCATGCCTGTTACAGGAGTCCAAATTCTCACAGTCATACCTCTGGGCCGTGTGCAAATGAACAAAGTGCTAGTCCCAGAACCAGTGCTCTGGCTCCCTCACCAAACCCAGCCCTGTCCTCCCGGCAGTCCCCACTCGCCGCCCCTGGTACCACCCCTTCTGTGTGGGTCTCTCCACTCTCTTCTATTTCCACCTGGTCAAGAACCAGCAAGGGCAGCCTATGCTGCAGGTGGCACCCAGGGGGTGGCGTGCTCGGTGAAGGGTGTGGAGATGCCTGAACCACAAAGAGGTGACCCGTGAAGTGGGGCAGACAGTACAAAGTGGGCAAAGTTACTTTGAAAGTTTCTGAGTTTTGCTTTGAGAGCTGATGAAAAGCAGTTAAAAGTAAGACTCAGAACTAATACACGCAAATTTAATCATTTCCTAGGAGACGTATTATTAGGTGGCACCCTCCAGTCCATGAGCCTCAGAGGCGAGAGTGCATCGGCCTGGCTGGCAGCAGCCTAGCCCGGCTGAGTCTTACCCACGTCCTGCCCTCCTGGGGGCAGACCCTGTTCCCCTGACCTGCTGACACCTGAACACACTCAGCCAAGAGAAGTACCAATGTTCTGTTTTTGACAAAGTACAAGTCCTAGGGATGTGCGTCAAAGGCTCTTAAAGTACTCCACGGCCAGGAGGCATCCCAACCACATTCTACACAGAGGCAAGCTATCTTCACAAATCAGCAAAGGAAAAAATTTACCTATTGACTTCAACCAGCATTTCTTCTTCTATAATGAATTTTTCTTCATTACTGAGGTTTTCAATTTCATTTAGGGATGCAGCCAAGTAACTGGAAATAAAATGGAGCTAAAAAAAAAAAAAAAAAAAAAAAAAAAGGACCAGTGAGGCTAAAAATAGACGCTGTTCAAAGCTTGGGTGAAGCACACACATCTAGGTCGCGTCAGAGAAGCCTGCGGAAGCCTGGCATGCCCACCACACTGCCTGCTGCCCAGGGGACTGGAGGCGCCTGTCTGGCAGCAGTCACGGGTACAGTCAGCGTCTAATGGCTCCGTGTTGTACTGCCAGCGAGACAGGCACAGGAACCGAAGGCTACTTCTGGAGACAGTAATTTAGCTAGAAGCGTTTTATTCTAACTCACACTCGTGCTTCCCACGGCCTGATCGTAGAGCAGGTGAGCCTATCCCCAAGCGCAGCCGCAAGCACGCCAGGCTCGAGGTCCAGGTCCCCAACGCTCCCTCAGAGCGGGGGCTGGACCAGACATGTGAGGCCCCTCTAGGAGGCCGTGGTTATTCACCCACTTACACTCAACACAGGGTGACATCTAAGTTTACCTAAGGTTGTCCCAGGTTGCACATTTATTCCACCTGTCAATTAGGGTTTAGGAGCTCCCTGGTCCTTTTTCTTTCTTTTTTTAAATCCTCACCTGAGGATATTTTTCCATTGCTTTTAGAGAGAGTGGAAAGGAGGGGGAGGGTGAGAGGGAAAGAAGGAGAGAGAAAGGGGGAGGGACTGAGGCAGAGAGAGAGAGAGAGAGATGAGACACATTAATGGGTTGCCTCCCACCAAACCTGCAACCCAGGTACATGCCCTTGGTGGCCATAGAATTGAACCCATGACCCTTCAGTGCCTGGGCAACACTAACCACTGATAACACCCGCCAGGCCAGGAGCTCCCTGGTTCCTGACTATTCACACTCTATCAAAAGGCAACAGAACACAGCAAAGCAGCGACGCCTTCTTTTGTGCACAAGAAACTGGCCGATCATCCTTCCCTCATTCACTGATTACCTAGTTGGAGTGCCCACACTTCCTCCTCCACCTCCTTTCCCTGTATGGCCTCTTCCACCTTCCTTCCCTAAATCAGCTTTCATATTCCACCACCAAAAAGGATCACTCAAGGTTCAGCGCTGTCCCAGGCAGGGGCTCACAGAGGGGCATGACTCTCTCAAGGAAACCTGGCACAGGAAAGATGAGGTGCCAGGCCCTGGCCACTGTGGCTCAGTTGGTTGGGTGTCCCCCATGCACTGAAAGGCTGCTGGTTGATTTCTGGTCAGGGCACATGCCCAGGTTGTGGTTCCATTTCCAGTAGGGGGCATGCGGGACAATTAGTTTTTAAAACCCATGCTTGAACCACTGCACTAGTAGGATTAATTTCTGGGAGACACTAGATGCTGAAACTAGCAAATGAAGACAGAAAACTTGAGTTGAATTGATTGACACCTTAATGACCCTCCCTCCAAAAAGTCCTAGGCCCAGACTGTTTTGCAAGCAAGGTCTACCCAACTTCCGAAGAACAGGTATCATCTTCATTGTAAACAAACTTATTCCAGAAAACAAAAAGGGAGACTCAGCTCACTTTAAAAGACTACTATAATTGATTCCAAAATATGTAATACTTTAAAAAATGAACATTCAAGACCCATGTGCACAGATGCAGAACTCCTAAAGTAAGATACTGCCTGATTGGACCCACCAGAGCATCACAGTTTATTGCAGAAATTCCAGGAGGTTTTAATGTTTAAAAACATCTCACTAGTGAATTAAAGAGAGAAAAGCATGAGAGAGCCTTGATGCATCTATGAGGTAACCAGATAAAGATCAGCACCTTGGTTTCAAAACCTCCCAGAAAACAGGAGTAGAGCTGCCTTCAGTCCCCACGCTGTGCAGGGCTGGCAGTTACACAGCTCTGCCTCCCACTGCGATGAACTGCCTTTGTGCTGAAGATCCGCCCCGACCGGCAAGAAGGAGCGCACTGGGACCGTGCTGTGTGCTCTCCCCCAGGCTTTCTCCCACCTTCCTTCTCATACAGCACGACCCTGAGGTCCAACCATCCTGGCCACTTCAGACACACTCAAGTTCTTCACAGTCAGCCTTCAAATATGACCAGGAGAGTCCAGCTGGCATGGCCCAGCGGTTGAGCATCAACCTATGAACCAGGAGGTCGCAGTTCAATTCTCCATCAAGGCACATGTCTAGGTTATGGGTTGATCCCCAATGTGGGGCCTGCAAGAGGCAGCCAATCAATGATTCTCTCTCATCGTTGATGTTTCTATCTCTCCTTCCCTCTCCTTTCCTCTCTGAAATCAATAAAAATGTATTTAAAAATAATACCTATGGCCAGAAGAGAGCAACAGAGTTTTGGGCAGGAGCTATATTCATCAACAAGCCTGAAGTTGAAAGGCTGCCCATAGAGTCTGCGCTACCTACTGAAGGCTATCACTGCCTAACTCAGGGGGGTGGGTGCCTAACAAACACCTGCTCAGTGAGCTACGGAAGCAACTGACTGCATCCCTGTCCGCGCCCCCGACCTCTGTGAATGCTTCTGAGCAGGCAGGACGCTCCGGGAGGGCAGGTGTGGAGCTGCCACCTGGGTAAGCTGGGCGAGGCGGGCTTGGTGTACTGCCCCAGCCCTGCCTGCTTCCACACGCCTACTTATGCTCAACCCAGGCTTCAGTGTTGGGCTGAGGAATGCGAGGGGTCCCAGGAGGCAATCCCCAGTCACTGGACTCCCGTAACTCAGGACAGGACAGAGAACTGTCAACATGGCAGCAGCTACGACACCGAGACGACCCCTCTCTGCACAACAGGAAACAGATCAGTGATCCCCAAAAGGCAGCCAGAAAGCAGAAGAGAGGCTGCACTTTTTAGAAAAAACTAAAAAGAACTACAAAGGGGGCTGTGATCCTCTCTGACTGAATACCGGTATCTCTGGCACATTGAACTCAACTGTCAAGTTTGTGTCTACATTTAGCGAAAAAAAGAAACATTTAAAGCAAGAGGGTTTGCCTAAGCATTACAGTTTTAAAAAGGTATCTTTCCAAATTGTGATGTAAGCAACACTAACTGCATAAGGCTGCCCTGGGTAATTCACCGACTCCAACGTACACACCCCAGCCTTACCTGCTGCTTCCTGGTGGGGAACTTCCCCAGGTTTGCTCTGAAAAAGGGGTACTTCTCATAGTTATAATCATACATCCACTCACAGAAATGGTTCGCAATGTCGAATCCCCTGAAGAAGAGATCAGAAATGCAGAGAATGAGGCACCTGCCTACACCAAACTCCACGTACAGAGAGAGGCCGAGTGGTGAGCATCCCTCCTGGCCACGCACTGGACTTCCTGAGGTCCCAGAAGTACACCTGCTTCAGGGTCAGGGACAGCCAACGGGGCCACTACCAGAACCAAGGAAGCAAAAAAGCGCCTCCTGACCTGCCGCTCAGAGCAATTGCTCGAGAGCATTTTCCTGCCATCAGCCATCTCTGAGCAAAAGGAAGTACCAGATTCTGGATTCTGATCACGCACAGCCCTGCTCCCCCAACAGGAGCTAAGGAGCTAAGGAGCTAAGGACGGGCTGCACAGCAGCGGTGAGGCCATCCCGTCTGGGGACAGAAAACATTGCTTCCAGAAGAAACTTTGTAACGCACAATATTGTTACCTATTTTCCCCTATAGGTGTTTCATAAACATATTCAAATAAAATAGTATGGAAGTGCCCTGGCTGGTGATTGAAGGGTCCCGGATTCGATTCCAGTCAAGGGCACATGCCTGGGTTGTGGGCTCAGTAGGGGGCGTGCAGGAGGCAACCGATCAATGATTCGCTCTCATTATTGATATTTCTCTCTCTCTTTCCCTCTCCTGTCCTCTCTGAAATCAATAAAAATATATTTTAAAAAAATAGTATGGAAGTAAAACACATTACCTGAAATTATTTTCTTTCTTTAAAAAATATATATATTTTATTGATAGTATTATAGATGTCTCCCATTCCTCCCTCTGTTACTTACCTGTAATTATAACTGCTGTATTCAAAGTCGATGAGCATCAGTTTCTGGTTTTCCAAATTCTCTCTCCCTTCCAGCAATAAGATGTTACCTGCAGAAAGGCATGCATGACATGACTTTTACTCTGGGTAGGTTTCACATTCGAAGGTATAAGTCCTCACACGCTGCCATCACAGGCCAGCTGACCTCCCTCACACACAAAACTGGCTGATGTGTCTACATGTTGCTTGATCAGACTTGGCTGGCAACGATCAGCTAATTACTAAAAGGTACATTAAGGTCTTACTGATGACTTGTCTTCAATAGAGACTGTTCTTAAAATTAAAACAAACTGCTCAGCCTGGCCAAGGGCCCAAAGGTGGACCTCAGGGCAAAGCCACACCACAGCCAGAGTCATTGCAAGGTGTGAACTAATGTTCCGCAAGGAGGTGGCTTGGATACGCTGCAGGTGCTGCTGCGGATGGGCTTGGCCCAGGACGGACCGAAGCAGGGGACCTGCCCTGGTTCTGCTCGTCCAGGTTAACAGTCAGGTCCATTGACAGGTAAAACACTGAGACTCAGGAAGGTGAAGGCCTTTATCCCAGCTCCCAATTTAAGTGAATATTCTGATTTTTTCTGAATATATATTTTTTTACAGAAACGAAATGATATTCTACATGTTTTTCTAAAACTTGCTTTTCTCTCTTAATATATCTTGGAGATTTTTCTATTGGCTTGTATAAAATTCAACCTCTTTTTTTTTTTTTGAGAATTTTTATTAATTTATTTGAGCCATATTCATGACATGCTGAGAAGCAAGATCTCTAATGCTCCCTCTTTCTTTTTAATAGCTACGCAACACTTCAAGTCTGGCTGTGCCTCAAATCCTCTCTCTGCCTGCACACCTGGCATTTGCTATACACCCTGGAGGCTATCTTTTAGTACACACACACACACACACACACACACAATGGGGGCAAGTCTTACCTTCTTGACAGTCATTATGACAAAATACAACTGGAGATGGAGTGGATTCAAGCAATGATCTGGAAAAGGAAGGTTTTGCTATTACTTACCAAACTTTTAAGAAGCCCAATGCAAATAGTCCTGCTGTCTCAGCAAACCCTGCACTGTATTAGTGCTCCACGCAACATGGCCTCTGGGTAATGTCTGTCACTTGTGAAAACTCTGCCCTATGTGGGCCAGGCCCCAGGACAGCCTGTGCTCAGTCTCTCCCTCTCCTTCCCTCCTCTCCCCACCCTCCTCTCTCTCCTCTCCTCCTGCAGTCCCTCCTCTGAGCCCGACTGACCCCTGACCAGAGCACATCCCTTTAGGCCGGTCTGTTTTGGCCTCTGGTTTCCTTGAGAACACTTATCACAACTTCACATTATTTTATTTACTTGTATTCTGTCTCTCTTGATAGAACAGAAGTGTCTTGAAGAACGTCTTGGTTACCGTTTCCTCAGCACCAATCACAAGGCCCAGCTCAACAGACTCTCAAATACTGAGTATTAAAGGTGTAGATACTCCCACTTGGGGCATGTGTGCTAAGAGTCTGCATCCCTGGCCTCCGAAGACTCCATGGTGGCGTCTACTTCGACAGTGATGTCAAGCTTCTTCCTGAATTTCCCCACAGCTTGGGGTGCACTGTTCCCCTCACTGGCTGACACTCCCAGCCTGCCCCCACGATTGGTTGCTTTGGTTTTGTTTCAGAAAAAAACTACTACCCTGGGTGCACTGCTGCCATAGCCAGCAACCATCCCCGTGGCACTGCACTCCCACCATGAAACCTTTTGTGAACACCAGGAAGTGACATCACTCCTGTAAACGAATGCCAGGTGACAAACCCACTGTTTAAAGCCACCCTGCAAAACAGATGTAAATGCCGGACCTGAGGCAATGCTTAGTTAGCGATTACTGACAGCTGTGTTGGTGACTAAGAAAATTTACATTTCTGGATGCCTACTTCCTAGGTCAGGAAATGGATGCATATACTGACCTCAGGTTCTCCAGTTCCAAAGGCAGGTTGTAACTGAGGAATCTGTGGAGCTGCTTCACCTTGGCTCCCTCGGTAAATTTAATTCTCAGCACTTGATTTAGATACCTTGCAAAAAGAGAGAGAACAGAAACGCATTGCTCAACCACCACGCTTGTCCTTGGGCTCTAGTTCAATGTAACCAGCCAGGGGCACCGGATCTCCATGACAGGGGAAAGGAAAGGGCATGGGATCCAGGGCGCTCTGGAAGCAGACTTCCTGCCCATCCACCGTTCAGTGGCGTTTCCTGGTTCAGGAACTGATTCTGACATGGAAGAAAGATCTACTCGTGAGGCACACACCACCAGCTAACAGCTGCACACCTCTGGCATCACCGGGAGCTGCCAATGTAAAACTGAAGTTAGAGAAAAATGATCTGACCACTTACTTTTCCATTGTTCCAAAAAGCCATTTTGGTTCCTTATTGAATGGCATCTTCATTCCATGAAATGTGGCCATTTTCTCAGCTACTTCCGCAGAAATATCTGGCAAACTTAATTCTTCAGTCTCTAATCGCCGGCTCTGAAACAAAAAAGGGTGTTAGAAAATGGCATTTATCCAGGTAACCTAGGAAGTGTGAGCTCCCACAATCTCCAAGGATGAGAAGCCAGGTTTTGTGGGTGTCTAAGTCTCAGCCAATACACAAAACTCCCTTAAGAATGGGCACTGTGCCCAAAGATGGTGACCCACCAATTGCCATGACATTTCTTCTTCTTTTTTATTTTTTTGTTAAATATATTTGTATTGCTTTCAAAGAGAGGAAAGGAGAGGGAGACAGAAGCATCAATGATGAGAATCATTGACGACCTGACTCTTGCATGCCCCTTCCTTGGAATCCAGCCTGCAACCCAGCCATGTGCCCTGACCTAGAATCGAATTATGACCTCCTGGTTCATAGGTCAACGCTCAACCACTGAGCGACATGGGCCAGGTGCCAGTGCACTTCTTGATGAGGGGCAGGCCACCTTCAAAGGTCGATTTCGTTTTGAAATTTTTAAACTGAAAGTTTATTCTCCCACATAATTTGTGACTGCCCTCTGCTGACCCAACACTAACAGTATGCTCCCTTCTCTAGGCAAAAAACCCAGGCTTTCAGCAGTTTATCAGGTGACCCGCCTCCAGCTCCATCAGCTGGAACAGTCCACTCTGACACATGCAGGTGAGGTGTGGTGTTCAGCAGTGCTGGAAGCTCAGCTGAGTCCCGTCCCACTATTCACAGTGGGGTCCCCAGCACCTGCCTAGACTGGTACAGAGAAGGCTCTCAAGAAAACATGCGCCCAGCAAGTGGGCCTATCCCCAGCTTTCCTACCACAGCCTGAGGACAAGCGTGTATGGCTGCTTTTCCACAGTTATTCACAGGAGCTCAGTAACCTAAGACTTGTCTATCTTTCCCACAAGAACTGCTCCCCTAAAGAAACCCAGAGACATTTCTCTGAAAGTCCAAAGTGAGGCACGGCTGGCATGACTCAGTGGTTGAGTGTCAACCTATGAAACAAGATTCGATTCCCCGTCAGGGCACATGCCTGGGCTGTGGGTTCAATCTCGTGTGAGGTGTGCAGGAAGCAGCTGATCAATGATTCTCTTTCATCAATGATGTTTCTATCTCTCTCTCCCTCTCCCTTCCTCTCTGAAATCAATAAAAATATATTGAAAAGAAAAGGAAGAAAATCCAAAGTGGGATAGCACAGGATAGAGAGTGAGTGTCCCCAAGCTAGAGAAATAGCCCCCTGCTCAATTTCTGGCTTCTATACTCATTGCAAAACTACATGGCCAAGGGCACATTACTGATACCTCTGTGCCTTGTTCTCGTGTCTGTGAAATGCCAACATGCTGTGAAGTTCCTGACAAAGCTGCTCTGAACTAGCTCAGACAGTGCGGGCGAGTCTCCAGCCGGCACCTAACCAGACAGTTTCAACAAGCCGCAGGTGCCCTATGATTCAGGCCGAGGCCCATCAAGCTGTCTCTCTTCAACTCTGGATTCTCCACAAATGACCATGCTGTGGTAGGAACAGGGCACTCAGCTTTTAGTGGCAGGACACGGTGGACTAATTAAGGAAGCTCACTCAGCTTTCTGAGCTGCTAAAAAGTGCTGGTAGCCCTGGCAGGTGTGGCTCAAGGTGCGTCGTCCCTTGTCCCGAAAGGTTGCTGGTTGATTCCAGTCAGAGCACGTGACTATTTATGGGCTCAATCCCTGGGAGGCGTGTGCAGGAGGCAGCCAAATGATGTTCTACTCTCACATCAATGTTTCTCTCTCTCTCTCTCTCTCAAAATCAATTTTAAAAATTAAAATTTAAAAAGAAAGAAAAAGAATTTAAGTCACATTACTATTTCAGACCAGTCGCAAACACATCTTACCGGGATAAACTGCTCCAGGCGGCCTTGCGGAAAGATGCCATAGAGCTTCGGCCCAAGCGACCTCTCTGCAAGAATGGCGAACATGACGCTCTCCAGAACCATGGCCTCAGTGCCCTGAAACATACCAACAAAGCAGACATTAGCGAGGGCTGACTTGGGCCAGGCATCAGAGTGCTTTCCCACGAGCAGTGTCACCGGATCCCGCACCAACTCTTAAGATCAGGCATTATTATCACCCATATTTAAATATGAAGAAACAGGTTAACAGATCTGGAAATTTGTAGGATCCATGTTCAAAGCACTATACAGATGAGACTTAAAATTAACTTTAATTAAGGTCGCTGACTCCAAAAATGGAACAATATCTGTCAATCCTTTATTGCTCCCGTTAATTTTAAAGCCTGTGTGAGTCCCACCCTGGGCATCTTGTCCAAGGTCACAGGACCACCTGCTGGTGAGGGTGGACAGTGCCAGATGGAAGCGCAGGGGCCAAAGGCCTGCTGGCTGACCTGGCTGTGTTACAGTGAGCTTCCTCATTGCTCATTCAGACCAGGGGTCTGTTTTCTGGCCCAAAGAGCACCTGAACCTGGAGCATTCAAGGTTTCTATTTTCTGCTATTAACCCCAATCTTCTCCTCTGTCATTTAATATTCCATTTTCTTGCTAAAACATCTATGATGCTCATGTGGTTCTGTCCTAAAAATGAATGTGGATCTATAATCATTTTGCCTTCAAAATTCATGTTTTGGATTCAATTCAAACTCATTCCTTAGTTCTCTTCTCTCAGACAGCAAATTATAGCCTAAGAGTTTCCATCTGTCGGGGTGAAGGAATGGGAACTTAACCAGAGGTGCACCCGAATCTCTTAAAGCTTTTCCAACAGTTGTGTCTGAGGAGACGCCAGCAGGTGTGCTCTGAAAATTCTTTGGGGGAGGGGTTCTACTTCACCCCTTATTAAAAAACATGCTGCTGTGCTTCTGGGATGCCCCAGGACCGGCGCACCAGGTGGACAGCTTCAGACCATGTTGAAGCACCACCCACCCACCTCCACAGAGACACAAGGACAGGCTCAGTGGGCACCACAGCCCCGCTGAAGCGTCACAGCCTATCCTTGCAGCCAATTGGCCTCAGGGTAAATCTCTCCCATTGATATGCCAAGAGCAAGTAAGGCTCAACTACAACAGGAGGGTGTGTGTACACATCCCACACGGGGTCGGGGTGGGTAGAGCACACCTAGAGTGCCCAAGTCGGGTGAACAGGGAGGCTGTGCCACTGGACCCTACAGGACACCGACTATACTAGTACAAGGCAACTCTACCAAGCCTGGGAGACATAACAGCTGTACCTAATACAGAGAAACAAACACAGGGAGGAGAGTAAGAAACATGTGAAAGGACAGAACAAAACTCTAGAAAAAGAACTAAACAAAACGCAGACAAGCAATACTAATACAGAGTTCAAAACACTGGTTATAAGGATGTTCAATGACTTAAGGGAAAAGTAAACAAACTTAGAGAGAACTTCAACAGCATAAAAAAGGACATGGAAACCATAAAAGAGAACCAGTCAGAAATGAAGGATACACTAACTAAAATGAAGAATAATTTACAGGGAATCAACAGTAGGGTAGATGAAGCCAAGAATAAAAACAGCAACTTGGAATATAAAAAAAGCAAAAAACACCCAATCAGAATAGCAAAGGGAAAAAAGAATCCAAAAAAAAAAAATGTGGACAGTGTAAAGGAGCCCTGGCACAACTTCAAATTTGCCAACTTCGCATTATGGAGGTGCTAGAAGGAGAAGAGCAAGAACTTGAAAACCTATTTGAAGAACTGGTTAACTTCCCTAACCTGGTAAAGGAAACAGACATACAAGTCCAGGAAGCACAGAGTCCTATACAACATAAACCTAAAGAGGCCTACACCAAGACACATCATAATTAAAATACAAAAGGTTAATGACAGAGAGAGAATCTTAAGCAGCAAGAGAAAAGCAGTTAGTTACCTATAAGGGAGCTCCCATAGGACGGTTAGCTGATTTCACATCAAAAAGTTTGCAGGCGAGAAGGGACTAGCAAGAAAGACTCAATGTTATGAAAGGCAAGGACTTACAACCAAGATTACTCTACACAGCAAAGCTATCATTTAGAATGGTAGGACAAATAAAGAGCTTCCCAGACCAGAAAAACCTAAAGGAGTTAGTTCATCACCACCAAACCAGTATTACATGAAATGTTACAATTTTAGAGGAAGGCAGGAGGAGGAGAAAGAGAAACATCGAAACATCAATTTGTTGTTCCACTTATTGATGCATTCATTGATTTTTGCATGTGCCCTGACTAGGGATTGAACCTACAACCTTGGCATATTGGGATGATGATCTAACCAACTGAGCTACCCGGCCAGGGCAAAGTCTTCTTTAAGAAGAAAACAAGCTCTGACTAGGTTGCTCAATTAGTTGCAGAGTTGTCCCTTACACTGAAGGGTCATGAATTTGATTCCTGGTCAGGGCACATACCCCTGTTTCAGGTTCCATCATTTCTCTCTCACACCAATGTCTGTCTGTCTGTCTGTCTGTCTCTCTCATTTTCTCCCTCCAAGATCAATAAGATAAAACAAACAAAAACACACATATCCTTGGGTGAGGATTTTAAAAGAAAGTTCTTTAAATCACACATTACAAAAATGAAGACAAACACATAGGCAATGATGCAAACTAAAATTAGTGAGAAGGAAACAAAAAAGAAAAAAATGCTACTTGCAAAGATATGGTGTCAAAATAAAGAAAACAGTAATTCAGTCACTTGTACATTTAGTGGGGGAAGTGGATTTGCTGGTAATCTCCCACAGTTCTAGTCCAGGCACCACCACCTTGTGTAATCCCCACAATTTGCCAACTTGCCAATTTGCATTATGGAGGTGCTAGGAGAAGAGCAAGAACTTGAAAACCTATTTGAAGAACTGGTTAACTTCCCTAACCAGGTGAAGGAAACAGACATACAAGTCCAGGAAGCACAGAGTCCTATACAACATAAACCTAAAGAGGCCTACACCAAGACACATCATAATTAAAATACAAAAGGTTAAACTATGGTCTAACCATCACCTTGTGGGGCCATCTACTTGAGGTTTTATATAAATGACTGCTATACACCAAACTACACCCTCCTCCAAATTCATACATTGCAGCCATAACCAACCCCCAATCCAATGATATTTGGGTGGGGCCTTTGGAAGGTGACTGGGTTTAACTGAGGTCATGAGGGTGGAGCCCTAATGGGACCAGTGTTCTTTTTTTTTTTTTTTAATATATTTTATTGATTTTTTTACAGAGAGGAAGGGAGAGGGATAGAGAGTTAGAAACATTGATGAGAGAGAAACATCAATCAGCTGTCTCCTGCACACCCCCCACTGGGGATGCACCTGCAACCCAGGCACATGCCCTTGACCGGAGTCGAACCTGGGACCCTTCAGTCCACAGGCCATCGCTCTATCCACTGAGCCAAACCGGCTAGGACGGGACCAGTATTCTTATAAGAAGAGACACCAGAGAATTCTCACTACTTCTCTCTCTCCCTCCACCAAGTGAGGACACAGCGCGAGAAGCTGGTATCTGGCAAGGTAGGAAGAGGGCTCTCACCAGAACCCGGCATGCAGGCAGGCACCCTGTCCTCCCACCTCCAGCCTCCAAAACTTCGAGAAATCAGTGTCCAGTTGTTTATGCCCCCGGGGAATTTGTTACTACTAAGACAATGACAATAGGTCCATAGGGTTGACCTATCAAAAGTCAATGGATTTTAAAGCAGGATTTGACTGACAATCATTAAACTCTTAATGACTGACAACAAATTCCTGACATCTCTATTTAGCTGGCAAAATGCCTTCACTCACTCATCTGACCCGACAGCAAACCTGTGTGTGGGGGTACAGCACCAGAAACACCCACAGGAGAGTGTACCATGGTCTATAGAGCATCTCTCAAGCTCTCCACCTGAACCTGGGCTCCGCTGCCCCCAGGAAGCAGCAGCCCAGCGCCCCACCCATGAAGGAAGGAATAAAAGTGAGTGCAGACCCTAACCGGTTTGGCTCAGTGGATAGAGCGATGGCCTGTGGACTGAAGGGTCCCAGGTTCGATTCCGGTCAAGGGCATGTACCTTGGTTTCGGGCACATCCCCAGTAGGAGGTGTGCAGGAGGTAGCTGATCGATGTTTCTCTCTCATCAATGTTTCTAACTCTCCATAAAAAAATCAACAAAATATATTTAATAAAAAAAAAAGTGAGTGCAGGACAAGGAAGCTGACCTCAGCACCCAGACCAGCTGGTCTACCATTAGTGGCTCTTCGCCATCTGTACAGCTCCCAGCCCAAAACTTCAGCCCATTCCCCAGTCATTTCCAAAGAGTACGACTAAGATTTCTTCTGTCTAGGTACCCTGAATTTTGTTGGAATTAAAATTTGTTTTTAAGTGTCCTCTGTTAGAATAACTAAGTTAAAGGTCATTAAGGTTGACACTGAATAAAACACGTTCCTACCTAACCAGTTTGGCTTAGTGGATAGAGCATAGGCCTGCAGACTGAAGGGTCCCGGGTTCGATTCCGGTCAAGGGCATATACCTTGGTTGCGGGCACATCCCCAGTAGGAGGTGTGCAGGAGGCAGCTGATCGATGTTTCTAACACTCTATCCCTCTCCCTTCCTGTCTGTAAAAAATCAATAAAAAAAACTGTAACAAACAACAAAAACCCACGTTTCTAATCTAAATGTCCCTTACAGTTTAAAGTTTCAAATTTCATAGATTTAAACCCCACTATTATTTCAGTAATTATTTTTGCACATTGTGTCCACTCAGTGCAAAGGCTTCGGGGAGCTGACTGCAACAGAACACATACGGTCCAGAACCCTCCAGAGTTGAGTCAACCCATTGCCAGAAATGGTGAAGACGGAAAGAGACTTAAGAATGTTCCAACCTCTGTAGCATTGCTCTGAACACTGTAAACAAGAAACATCTTTGTTCTTATGTGATGTTACAGCTCAGTATTTATTCACAGTAGGGAGAAAGGGGAATGGTGTGTGGAGGGAAGAATCTGGAAAGGAAGAAAATGAAAGAAAACACTAAGTCACAAACAAGACAAATGGGTAGTTAATAAGGCTCACAAGTAATCTTACAATGAGTGCATGGATTACAGGTGGTCTTTTTGTAACCACAAGGTCTCCAGGCACCCTGCTGCTTGCTACTCAAGTGACCACCCAAGGAGAAAATGGTAGCAGACTGTGTGAATTCCTAGCAGGGCCTGGGTGGAGGATAGGAGCTGTGAACCTTTGGCCTGTAGGAGAAATACAAGGATGAGGTTTGGATCAGGTGGCCTGAGGAGAGAGCGCAGCATGGGAAGAGGCCGTGGACCAAACTGTGGAGCGTCCTAGCAGTTAATGCAATAGGACATGAGCCTAGAAGGAAGGAGAGAAGGAAAAGTAGAAGAAAAGAGACAGATTTTTACTTTGTGTCCCAGCTGCCTTAGGGAAGGACACATTTCAAAATAGGTGAGGGCCCTGTTAAATGCTGCTGAGAAGTCAAAGTAATAGAACTGAAAATATACTTTGGACTTAGCATCATGGAGGTCCTAGTGCTCCGACATTTTCAACTACCAGCAGGCACTAAGGTCGACATATAAAGGGCTCTGGTGGGTGAAAACAGAATGTCGATCACTTCCCACCTGGTGACTTTCCAGTCAGTTCTAGATCCTCAGATCAGGGTCTCCAGAGCAGGGTGCAGGTAAAACAACCCACCAGAACACGAGGACTAGCAGCACTTTTATTCCTTTATTATCTCACTTTTTGATGTGTCTTATTTTATTTTATTTTTATTATTTTTAAAATATTTTATTGATTTTTTACAGAGAGGAAGGGAGAGAGATAGAGAGTCAGAAACATCGATGAGAGAGAAACATCGATCAGCCGCCTCCTGCACATCCCCTACTGGGGATGTGCCCACAACCCAGGTACATGCCCTTGACCGGAATCGAACCTGGGACCTTTCAGTCCGCAGGCCGACGCTCTATCCACTGAGCCAAACCGGTTTCGGCGATGTGTCTTATTTTAGTAACTAGTACACAATTTAGTAATTAGAAAAATGAGTGTATTTATATGTGTACAGATACATACATACATACATACATGTGTGTTGTGTGTATGTGCACACTTGTGTGCACACACTCCTTATATACAAACTTGGGAGAGTATGCTCAAAAGTTGTTTTCTCCCTGGAGTGTGGAGGTAACTGCTCCAGTCTCCCCACTTCTGAGCCCCAAAGAGAGGACAGGATGACATCAGTGCTCTTGACCTTAAGCTCTTTTGAATTTATACATTTCAGAACGTGGGGTCATTCTAACTCAAATCTTATAATTGAGGGGGACACCTTTCTACCTGGGTACCTTGCATAAGTAAAAACACTCCTACCTGCCCAGGGAAGAGGCCACTGAAACAACTGGCAGTGATGACACGACACAGCAGTGAAATCCAGGAGGCCTCCACCAGAGTATCATGCACAAATGTTACCTCAAACTGCCATCTCTTAGTCCCCCAAAATGCTCTTCAGGTCACCCAAAGACACCAAACATGCACTACCTCAGCAGGAACTGGAAACACCCACTGTCCTCTCAGGCTTACTGAGGTGGCTCCCGTACACCAAGAGCCCATCCTCTATGACAGACAGACAACTAGGGTCCTTCAGATACTGCCCCACCAGAGTGGCCACAGTCGGCTAACATGGTTACACCTCACACAGATGCAGAATGGATTTCATTACTTACTTGAAATTCATTTTCATTCTGAGCTTGTTCGGATCCCTCCTTATTACAGGACCTCTATGAATGAGAAAAAGTAAACACTTCCGGTGAGATGGGGAACAATCAGCAGACGCTAACTTTGCAACCACCAGAACAGCCATGGGTAACAAAACATCACAGATTTTTAAAGAGTGTTTCTCAGTCCACTGATGTCTAAACTGCACCACCAGTGTCCAGCACTAGTACCAACACCCGAAGAAGCGCTTCATTTCTTTACAGGAAAGGGATGTGCTGTTGAGACCAAGCAGCTGTGATTCTCAATCACTCTGGTGTACCACTTCACAATTTCATTGCTGGAGGAAAGGCAACAGAGGGCGCTCTTCCAAAGAGGCCTTCCATAGACACATGGTCAAGCTGAGTCTGCCCTATTTAGCCAGGTGGCTCTTTACCTGGAGAAAGGCCTTCTTTCGGCAAGAACAGGGAGCACACACATGCCTGTGCAAGTGTGGTCAGCACAGAACTCACAGTTCAGAAGAAAGCCCTGTGCAGGCAGGTGACCTGGCACAGAAACTGTGCGGATGAGCCTGCCAACTTGGTACTTTCGGACTAACTCTGCTTGTTCCTCTCGTTATAAATTTGTCCTCCACCAAGAAGAGGTTTGTGCAAATAAAGTCTCTAAACTCATTTCACATATTAACATATAAAGGGATATTTTCACATCACTTTCCGCAATGAAATTGCAAATGACTGGTAACCAGGATTCTAGCAATAACAACAACTAGATAATGAACCACCATCTTCCACTCTGGCTACATTCTTTCTTCATGGCCCGGACCATTTCTTCTCAAAGCAACCCCCACCCCAAGTGCTTTAAAACCTTCCTACTATCTTCTAGCCAGGGCCTGGGGAAGCAAGTCAGAAACTTAAGTGTCACGTCAAAAGTCTATACTCAAATATTGCCTCTAAAAATATATTGTTAAAATTAAACTAAAGTCTGCTTATGTCAGGCACAGAAGGAAGCCCATAAAGGAAGCTCTTTAAAAAGTTAAGGTAAAAGATTCTTGAACACCCCATGAAAAACATACCTTTCCATTCCACAGCTTTATCAAAAACACCTGTACCAAGGGCAGAAAGTGTGGACAGGAAAAAAATGCCACGTTAAGCAACACCAGCTACTCTAGCACCATTCAAAAAACCTAGGGATTTAAAGCAACAATCCCATCCGTCATACACAGAAGCAACATTCCACAGACGTTTTAACATGTTTTGTATAAACAGTATATGTTCTAGCTTACTGAACATAAAACTAAACAAAATAAATATTCATGTGCATGAAGCTATCTGCAAACACCTGCACTTACATATACTCGATAGTGTATTTACCATACAGTTAAGCACATTTTGTACAAAGTAAGAAAATACAAATGGGATATAAAACGTTTTGTGTAATTTGCATCTCTCTGATGAAAAGGTGGTACAGGTTAAATCCCGTTACAATGAAAATACTATTTCAGAAATAATTTTTGACCTCTGCTGATGGCTAGGTGTATGATGTGATAAATCTTAGGAGGGAGTAATTAGGTATCATGAAAGCTTTAATCTAAAATACTCTCATGATTATGCTGTTACCTTAGACTTGGTCTCCTCTCCCCAGCAGCCTACAAGGTACTTATGAATATGGACTCCATCTTTGATTTACATCTTTCCCAAAAGCACCAAGTAAATCTTGGTGCTTAAACACTTTTTGGATGGCATGAATAAATGAAGTTTACTCTGGCACCATGAAGTTCAAGGTGGCTAGCTCAAGGTGCAACCTAGGGTGATGAGCTGACAGTTATGGCAAACTCACATCCATGATTCCAGCAGTGGGAACACTGGCTACAGTGTTAATTGGAACACTGAATGGGGCGGAAATGTCCCCAAAACATTATATTCTTTTGCTTTTTCTCCCCAAGGAAAGTTAAGCGTAAAAGAAGTTCTATTATCTGATATAGCTGATACTTTGTAGGGAAAGCTTCAAGACAAATAAGGAACTTGGATATCTTACTGAAATTTGTTGTAACTGGATTTGACCTGTACAGAGTTCTAAATGACTATGGTTATTCCTAGGCTGTTATTACTCAAACTGTATCTTCTTAGAGAGATACAGTTAATGGGTTATTAAGTCAACAGAAGTCCCTTTTCCTTGTCTAATGGTGCTCTCAAAAGCAAGTGACTTCATCCAAAGTTAGAATTGGTTTAGTTCCCAAGGCCATGACTTTTGAACATATTAGCAACCATTAAGTGAAAATAACTTACCCACCCTGCCCACCCCAGTCCACCCCCAAATGCATGCATTACTTCTGCCATAAGAGCACCATCATGAAGGTAAGATGGACTTCTGCTATAGTCAACCTTCGGTTCTGTTTCCTCAGTACAGAATGCTCAGGTTCCCTCAAACCTGGGAATGAATCCAGGAAACCTCAAAACAAGAAGATATTCATGAAAAGGTGAGAGAAGAGGCCTCCTCCTGAGTTAAGCCAAGAAGAGAGATTTACACTGCCAAAAGGTCAGAGACACTTCTGTCCTGGAAGACAGTAAGTAAAATATATCTTGGAATCTGTGGGATTTTACTTCAGAGGAACAAGTTTATCTGAAGAAGATATCAAATATATTGTAAAAAATTTAACATGACTTCAAATTTTTTGCCAGCCTGCACATTCATAAAAATTAGCTTTCACAGCTATAAAAAAAAAAAGCTGAAAATTTTTATATTTATTAAAAATTTGAACACTGACTGGTTATTTAATATCAAATAATTACTAAGATTTTTTTAATGTGAACATTATTCTGATCTTTTTAAAAATCACCTTAGATACAGACTGAAACATTCATGGAAGAAATAGTATGGTGTCTGGAATTTCCTTCAGAGTAACCCTGGAGAATGAATGTGGGCAAAGAGGAAAGAAGACTGGTCAGAAGGAAAGATATATGTTGGGCACTTGGGTTTCATTATATTCTTCTAGTCTATTTTTGCTACATCTGAAATTTTCCATAATAAAATGTTTATAAAAGAAACAATGAAATTTTAAGACTTAAGAAGTCCTAATGCATCAAATAGACACCTAATTTTATGAATATACTAAAAACCACTGAATTGTACACTTTAAATGGGATAAAGATGTTACTATAAAAAAAGAAGACACCCAGCGATAATTAAAAATGTACTGCCACTGGCTTCCTTCCATCTTCCTCATTCTTTTCTTCCTATTTTTGTTTTCAGAGAATCTATTCATTATAATCCATGTATTCATTAGACTGCGATGTAGGAAATAAAAGACTAAAGTGGTAGCAATAATAATAAAGAGGTATGGTTTACATTTTGCTTTAATATTATAGAAGATTTTAAAAGCTGAAAGAGATTTTGATTGGCCAAGAATATTTAAATTTAAAACCCAAATTCCTAAAATTCTAAATTCTAAGATGAGAGGATAAAGGACTTTCACTTTTTTTTGGGGGGGGGGTTGTTTTGTTAAGCCTCACTCGAGGATATTTTTCCATTGATTTTTAGAGAGAGTGGAAGTGAGGGGCAGAGACAGAGAGAGAAAAACATCAATGTGAGAGAGACACATTGATTGATTGCCTCCCGCACATGCCCCAACCAGGGTCGGGGATCAAACCTGCAACTGAGGTATGTGCCTTGACCAGAAATTGAACCTGGGACCCTTAAATCCACAGGCTGACACTCTATCCACTGAGCCAAATCAGCTAGGGCAGGACTTCCATTTTTTACTTTACATACTTCCATACCTCAAAAAGTGTTTAAAAGTATATGTTACTTTTATAATAAATATATTTGGTTCAAGGTTTCCAATGTTGCTTTTTCTGACAAAATCACATTTAAAAGGCTTTTGAATTTTAAAGACGACCATGAAAAAAGTAAATGTTCATATTACAGGTTATTAGTTTTCAAAATGTTCTATTTAGTGATTTGCAGAGATAAAAATCCATTGGTAATAAAACATCTTTAGGAGCTGGGATAAGAAAATACCACTTGATTGAATTGTCATATATAATTTTAGTGTTCAAAAATGTCCTACTTTAAGTTACTTAATGTTTCACAATCTAATCAGTTTATTTCTTTAAATCTGTTTAAGCCATTGGGCAAGACTAGCTCTTATCAGGGGCCAGTTCTTAATAAAAGGTTCCTCTAATGATGAGGGAATCAGCTTTATGACTAGACTACTTTAATACAACCACAACATTTGTGAGACTAAACCAAGCAGCACTTGCTTTTCCCCAGAGTCTGTGTATGTGTGTCTATAAATAAATTAGTCCCAGTGGCATGAAGTGGCATACAGCTATCCAAATGTCATTTGTACTACCTGAAACATTTATCTTCAAAATATCTTTAAAGATCCAATACTGCTGAGCGGCTGGCGGGGCAGGCTGGGAGAAGTGATGAGTCAGCTACAAAGAAGGACATGTCATCAATAGTGTAATAAACCCAAAATGCTACCTAAGAAATCAAATCATCATCAATTATAGATAATGTCATAAGGAGGTAGCCACTATGTTAAATACAATGGTGGCTACAGAGATTTTTTTAGATACAAATAAAAGTGTTTTTATAGAAACATGAAGGACATTCTCTTCTTCCCAACAGCTCGTCCCCATCAAAAAATAACTAAATGGACTGTCTCTTTCAAAGACTGTCGCAATATGATAAAGTAGTTGGTTGTGGCCTTTAAAAATGCTTTGGACCCCTAGCCAGTTTGGCTCAGTGGATAGAGCATCGGCCTGCGGACTGAAAGGTCCCAGCTTTGATTTCAGTCAAGGGCACATGCCCAGGTTGTGGGCTCGATTCCCAGTAGGGGGGGCTTGCAGGAGGCAGCCGATCAATGATTCTCTCTGATGTTTCTCTCTCTCCTTCTCCTCTCTGAAATCAATAAAAATATATTTTTTAAAAAGTGCTTTGGAATCCAGAAATGAGTGAATAAGAAAGAATAATCCAAATGTTAGCTAGACTCAACCTCTAGGGCATCTAAGATGTGGTCCAGGAAAATCCTCTCTCTCCACTGACCTGGGATTACACTTGA